AAGATTTTAATTTATTTGAAAGCTTGTTTTATTGTTTTTGTTTCATGACATTGTTCTGGTTAGCAAGGCCATTAGGGGGGTTTCATAGTTGACGTTATGCAATCAAACAATTACTGTGTGACCAAAATTTTAAAATAAAAAACTTTATCATAATTTCATTTCATTCACTGAGAAAATATTTTTATCCAAGAAGACACAAATACGAAGAGCTGGTTCGGGTTCAGGTTTTTAGGCCTTTCTCAAAGGTCAGTTTGGCAGGGAACTAAACCTCGCAGTATCCATTCAACAGATGAATCAGTGATTTTACTAAATCTGCTTGGTTATTGTTTTTTATTACTTTTTGTATAAATCATCAGGGGTGAAATGTAATATTTTACTTTTCTGTTGTTGCTCCTAAGTAAAGCTCTTCTTGCCTACTGTGTGTTCTGTTTTGGGATTGCTATTGTTTCTCTTATATTCATTCCTTCTTCAGCACATTTTGAGCATTTTTAAGTTTGTCTCTTATCACTGTTATGCACATGGCATTCAGTAATACATCCCTTTTAAGTCTGCAGATTTTGCAGAGGTGTTTAGACTCTATTAAAAGTGGTTGAAAATTGTCTCTAACTTAATGAGGAGAAAACAGAAGTTCTTGTTTGTGCCCCCAACAAATTTATGCAGAAAGTAATGGTGACTAATTCATCAGGAACTTCAGAGTATGTTTTGAGTCAGCTTTCATTTTAGACACTCTGTCTCACTCTTGCTTCTATCATTTAGGGAAAATTGTTAAGTTGAGCTCAGTTGTGTCGCGCTTTGAGCTGAAAATTGGAAATCATCCTTTTATTTCATCATGTCTGGATGATTGTAATTCATTGTTCACGTCTCCTATGAAATCTTAAAGCTCGTCTGCAGGTTGTTTGTACTTACATGTCACACCTTTCAGGTGCACTGGCTTCCCATTAACTTTAGAGTTCACTTTAAAATTCTGGTTTTGACTCTTAGAGGTCTCCATGGACAAACGCCAGCTTACATCATAAAACGTTACATCCTTACATGCCCAGGTCATGTGATCGGGGCCTGCTGGCTGTGCAGCATTTAAGGCCGAGGACTAAAGGAGACAGAGCTTTTGCAGCAGTGGCCTCCCAGTATGGAACGCTCTCCCACTGAGCCTGAGTTCTGTGGATCTGTGATCTCTTTCAAAAAGCAGCTACGAATCCATTTTTTAACTTGCTTTTGGGTAAATTTGTTTGTTTGGATGTTCTACCACTTTTATTGTAATGCACTTTGTGAGATTTAATGTTTTAAAAATAAAAAATATGCAAAGCATTAAACAGGCCAGCATACCTGTTCATTGAAGTTCATGAGATAGTACTGCAGAGTGAAGTGGGTCAAACAGGCAGGTTCCTCCACGACCAGTCAACTTCTTTCACAGGGATTGTTTTCAGATCTATCAAGTGAGACAAGCTCCTTTACCCTCTAATGCTACATCCCTGCAAATTAACCTGACTTCAGTACCCTGAGTGCAGAAAGTGGCAGGTATTGTCTCCTATTCTTCTCACTTTCTCGTCCTTACAGTAACCAGACACTGTCACCTTTTGTCCCATTGTTGTCTTAATTACTGGTCGACTTGGGTTCAGAGGGATCTGCTTACTCAAGTCTCTTTTCCTTGTCTGTTGACTAGGCTGAGACTTTTCATTGGGACCCAGAGGAGCGATAATAAAGTTTAATCTGCACTACGGCTATTGGGAGAAAAAAAAAACACTTTCAATGAATACATTCATCCAACAATTTTAGCAACATTTCAGATTATCTGTGGTGTAGAAAGATTGTTTTACACACAAGTAGCAAAAAGGATGCCGCTGGTACCAAGCATCAAGGCGAGGATCATTTAGATATCTTATCACCAGTAGAGGGAGTAAGAGGATTGTCTACAGATTGCTTTTTTGTCTGATGTATTGGAATGTTCTTGCTGATCTCCAGAGGACTTTGCATATTAAGACCATTGATAGTCTTAAAATTGCTTATTGTTATGTGCACAGGTGTTTTGCTTTAAAATTTGCTTCATTCAGAAGCCTCAGAGGAGGTTTTTCTTACTCTCAAACAATAGTCAAAAAAACAGGACAGTTCCCGTTTACCACTGAGAGAATGACTTTACCATGAAGTTGCATGAGGCTAACCACCAAATATACAATCCAGATTTCAGCAAAGCCAAGCTTTAAGCAGTTTCAAAGTGAGCAATGATGAAAGGAAAACAGAAACACCTTTCATGAATTAAGAAATCAATGCTGTAAATGTCGCAACTGTTCCAGCTTATTAAACGCCCCTCTGTGTTCGGTTTTGTTTTTGGATTTTTCTTCCTCGCAGTGTGTTTCCAGTTGTAAAGCTGGACTCCTGCTGTTCCTTCTAAAATGTGCAGGTTGCATGCTTGACCTCATCCCACAGTGGAGCCAATGGCTCACACATGGCACTCCAAATCCTCACTCTTGCGCATGCATCTCCAAACAATCTGGGAGTCATTTCGCATATCTGATAAGTTTTGTGCTTCGTGGAAGAAAAGGCGAAGGCCTGTACACATGTCCCGAGCCTGAATCCAATCAAGGCAAGTAGACTTCAGAAAGTCACACTGCACCTTTAGATTTTCGCACACAAAGCACAGAAAGACTTCAAATGGAAACGGGGAGAATGGGATTAGCTTGATCTGATATTTGCAGCCCATATGCTTTGCAGCAGCTCGGGTATCAGAAATTGAGTTTGATGATGAAATAAACTGTATTGCTGGGGCAGAAGAAAACAGTAGAGTAAGCACAACACAGGTATAAGAAACATGCATACAGTGTTTATTTTGCAACCAGGACACATTAAATAAAACTACAAAGATACTTCACTTATACAAAAGATAGATTATATCCCATTCACATACAAAATAACAATAATTTACTGTATAAATTAAAATTTTCACTATTTTGCTATTTACAATTTGATGAAAACAATGTTTTGGCCTCTTGTGATGACTCAGGGCTTCTGGTGTTGTTTTCATGTTATCGAGCACTACAGGACATTCATATCAACAAAAACAGTTTTGGAGACAAGAAAAAGACTGTTTCCACCGCTCAGAAGACGGCGTGGAATTTTACGACTGACTGGAGGACCGGACAGAAAATGGAAGTTTGCATAATTCACCAGGCTATCCAAACAAATATGCCCTTGTTAGATTTTAACTGTCAGATTTCGTTAGCTTGTGTTTGACTTGAACGCGCATTAATTTCCCATTGCTCTCCGTTTCTCCCCTTCTTTCTACGCTTGGTCAGCTCTGAACATCACAGACCCAGGGGCATGTGCTCTTGTCTTGCAATAATTAACATGAGTTACAGTTGAGAGGACAGGCAAAACATAGCAGAGAGTAACATTTTAGAAAACTTCTGATTGGGAAACAAAAGTTATTCATCTTTTTACGGGTATTAAATTCTGTCTCAGTTCTCGAAAACCATAAATCTTTTGATTTGAATGTCACTGTAATGCTGTGTCATGCATAAAATATAACCTTTCTTTCAAGTGCTCAGGTTGCTGTACAAGTGCGTATTTTTTTTTCCTTTTTTTTGTCTTTTCACTGAAACAGAGCTGTAAGTGATTAAGTACCGTTTCATCTTGTAAGCTGAACCAAAATTAAGTGCTTCAAAGTTAGGATCTTTTTTATTTTTCTTGCCAGTGAGAAAATAACTCAGCGGCCATCTGCAGAAACCTTGAACATCCAGTCTCACATCAGGAAAGGCCAATTACTATGCCGTTGGTGCATTAGTGGATTCTGACCTTTCACAAGTAGTTAAAATGTCACAGAAAACCATTATAGCTGGAAACCTTCTGTCAGCTTGTGGATAGTACCTTGGGGTGCTTTTGGTTATATTTCTGTCTGACTATATTGTTCGCACTCAACCTTTTGGCCTGAAATCTATATGACAAGTAAAAGCTTGAAGGTCTGCAGCGTTCTGCAGAATTTAGACAATTTACTGGTATCGAAGATTAGACTTTTTTTATTTTTAAAAAGCACTCCGCCTTTGAGCTAAAGTAACACAAAAGCACTTTGACAAGTTGCTTAAATGCTTTGCCGAGACACAAAATGAAAGAGCAGTCATAAATATCATCATTCCCACACTGAATTACATAATATACAACAATATTCATCCCCCTGTAATCAAAAGACAACATAATGTGAACAATATGTTCAGTAAACGTCCAAGACTACACATAAGATACACAAATAAGAAACAAAAAAAAGCCTTTTAAAGCCTCGTCTGTCATTATATGAAGAGTTCTATCCCAAAAGGCTAAGTGTGTCAAAGAAAATAAATCGACATCAACAAAGTCGTGTTAAAAAAACAATGTAAAAGATCCCGTCTGAGATTAATGCTTTCAATCACTGCACAAGACCGGGAGGCATTTTTGACATTTAAGTGGCGGAAACCCTATTCTGGAATGAAACTCTTCATATCTACATGGATTTGTTAAAGAAGTGCAGACTTTTGTGAGGGACACCAGTCCACTTTGTGAAAGAAACAGATGTGCGGAACTGAGTCAAGGGAAGAGGAGATCCTTAAGGCACTTGAACAGCATCAAACCGGAAAGACTCCCACCCACAACCGAGCAGAAAAAGCCCTCAGATCTTCCCGAGCCTCCCTAAATGGCAGTTTGTGAGCAAACTGCACCAACCCCCACCCCCCCAGCCAGCTAGCTACTTCTCCTCGCCACACAAATCCATGGGCGCTGAGTGAACGAGTGGGCGAACAAGCTCCCTTTCTCGCTGATCTTTTCATTTTGCGGTGACTGATTCGTCCCCAAAGTGCTGTCATATCTACCTTCCGTGTGACATTTCCGCGTCCTGTTTCCCTTTCCTCAGCAAGCCAGGTGTCACGTAAAACATATATTTAAAAAAAACAACAAAAAAATATTAGCAGTTTGAATACAGAATTAAGAACACAAATGAATAAACAACTCTTTGGATGGGAGGATTCTGGATTTTGGCTGAAAATGTTCATCCGCATGAGGCAGTTAAGTTATTAAAAAAAACTGAAGTTTTACAGCATGTGTCATATGTGTATATGTATTAAAGACTCAGTTTCTTCATCCTCTCGTTGATGCTGATGAAGATTCGGCTGCCACTGAAACTGAACTGAGCTGATTTGTTTTTGCACTCCAGCTTTGTCATATTTTCACTAGTGAGCTTGCTGTCCAGAGGGGTTTTTGGAGGTATCTTGATTGGTAGGGTCATCCATGGGTGATGGAAACAGCTTCTTGTATGATAAAAGCATCTTTGAGATTTTCCTCTATCCAATCTTTTATTCTCCTCTCCAAGAGTGGAGTCTTACAGTCCTGCCTGCCCTCCCGCTCCTCTTCGGTGCTGAGCAGGTTAGGAGGGCGTGGCCACTTTGGCACACAGACCATTTAGTAGCATTCACTCAGTCAGTTGTCATTAGCCACTCAGTTGTTGGCTTGTTTGCTTAGCGCCTCAAAGAGTTTCATTGTCTGAGGGCCTGGCATCTGACGGCCCTTGAACAGAATAGTGGCGGGTGGCGGTACTGTTTGGTTAGATGGCAGGACGCAGCAGGAGCACTAGTTGCCCACCAGGGGGCTGAGGTCACCGTGGTGGTTCTTTAGCTTCTTCTTGAACAGGGAGATGGTAGAGGGGCGGTACAGGATGATCCAAGGCTCAGAAGACGCTGTGCTCTGGCTGCAGGTGTCTGAACCACTGACGGTTGGGATGTTTGGAGACCTGAGAGTAGAAATGAAGACGAAGTAAAGACAAAGAAAAGGAATTGCACAAAAGAGAGGGGAAAGGAGAAAAGATGGAAAACAATGAACAGAGATTAATAAAGAGAGTCACAAATGTGTCCTCGATTAATGTCACAGACAGATCCATTAAAACGGTGGTACTAAAGCTCTTGTGTAGGTTTTTACAATTTTTGGGTACTTGTTTAAAAGCCCTCAATATTTTTGGACTCAAAATTATTGTAATTAGTGGTAAACCTTGGCTTTAACTTAAACTTACTATATTTATTGCATTCGTTTTTTAAGGAAAATGGATCTATTTTCAGGGGAAAAATCTTTATATAAATGTTTCTGTGTTTTCACTGAAGGGAAAGGGAAACTATGTTCTACTGGAAGAAAATGTTTAAACAACGTCGTTTTCTTGTTTTTCAATTTTCTGTTCTGTTGATGCTAGGAGATTCTTTGATCGGAAAATTTCTGGCTTTAGTCAAAGTGAAAAAACAGACTTTTGCGGCTCCAGATAAAAATTCTTTACATAAGGACTTGTTCTTTCATCTTCAACCAGTATGGTATGAATATCGTGGCGTACGGGTAAAAGCTTGGAAACGTGATACTTGGCTGATCCGCCACGCCTCGAACATCCTCATACTTACTTGACTGTGACGTGCAGCAGCAGCTTTGCTACCATGGCGATGACAGTCAGTATGAGGAGAGCTGCTAAAGCGTAGATGGTCCACACTAGACAGAGAGCGGAGCACATTAACAAGACATCAGACATCCGATCACGGTAATTAAAACAAACCGCAGCAGACTGAAGAGATTAGCGAGTCAAGAACTATTCAAGCGCTGCTTAATTCAAACTTACACCTGTGAGAAGTTCAGTCAGCTAATTGTCAAGAAATGGTGATACATTATCAGTGCACATCTGTTATCAGCTAGCTGTTTGAGAAAAAGAATTAGGGCTTGGAAAGAATAACATTTGGAGGAAGCAGAAAAGCGCAGAGCACATCAGTCCACCCTGCAAAGTGTTGACTAGATGGCTGATTGGGAAAAGCGGGGACTTCTGAGACAATGACAAGTGAAAACAAGCGTCATGTGGCATTACTTCAATTATGATCATAGGGAGTCACTCTGGGCCAGAGCTTCTAGAAGTATCTCGACAAACCAGAACAATTTTCAAACTTTCAGAGAAACCAGGTCATGCTAAGTGGGAGTTCTTGCTAAGAAACCTCCAACAGCATCCCAGCAGAGGCAGAGAGAGGCGCGGTAAGTGCAGTGTACGACGGATGTTAACATACTAGCGCTGTGGCCGGTGGTCTCGCCGCGTCCAGCCCACTGACCTGGCATGTTGTGCTCCGGTTTACCGGGGCTGGACGTGATCACGTAGAGGATCTGGGACGAACGTCCATTCGTCGTACCGTTAGATTTCTCTGTGACTCCGCCAGCCAGCTGGGGCCCTGCTGTGCTAGACACGTCTTCGTTTTCCTCCTCGTCATCTCGTTCAGACTCTATTGTTCTGGTGTCCTGGCTTTGAAGCGCTCCTTCAGACTCTATTGTTCTAGTGTCCTGGCTTCGGAGTGCTGGGGGGGAAAAGAAACAGACAGTTGAATGTTATTCCTTAAACTATCAGGTGGAGACATGGAACAAATCAAAAGCTTACTATCCCACGGCACCAAGTTGATCTGGTTGTTTCAGTGACTAAAAGATTACTTTGTCAGGTGTGGTGCTAAGAATATTCAATTCTGATGTGAAGTGTCTCACAGCACTGGCATTTCCAAAGAAAACTGCAACTTTCCAACTATTCAGACATAAATGATTGTCCTGTCCTTGAGGTATAAGCAGAGACGTCAACTTTAACAGCAATAAAACTAGTTCTCAGTCCCAAAAGAAAATAATGCATGAATACAATACAACAACATTACTTCCATCCTTTTTCTTAACTGCTTATCCACCTTGGGTCATGGGGAGGCTGGAATACAACCCAGATGACTTTGGTCAAGAGGTAAATTACACCTAGGACAGGTTACCACTTCACCACAGGAGGCAGACAATCACCAGTTAACCTAACACACAAGTCTTTAAACTGTGGCAGAAACTGCAGCACCTGAAACGAACTAACACATCCTCAGGGAGAAGATATAAACTCAGACAGGATTAATATGGACTCAGTGGCCAATATTTATCTCCTCTCTCACATTCTGTCTCACGACGAGTTAAAAACGTTAAAATATCGCTCCCTGCCATATTATAACAGCACACCTGTCTGTAAACTGACACTTTTCCCCCCAGTTTTTAGGTAATGCATCAGTTTTTGTCAGGGAGAATAATGATTGCATGCTCTTTGTGGTAAAAACTAATTTCATTCAGGACCACTATAGCCAGAAGAGCACTGGGATTTCAATATCCAGTTTTCAGTTGATGACCAGCTCAATTCTGTGACCTTCCCATCCATTCATGTGCTTACATTTAAAGCCAGAGGAGGGCAGGGTGGAGCAGCTAAATGCAGAACAACACAGCAGGGATCAATGATAACACATGACATATTACACTGATATGACATTGATAATGTTAGGTACAGAATGAAAAAGGGTGGAAAGCAGGTTGCAAAGCTGCTTACACCTGTGTAGCAACTGTAGGAATACTGAATAAGTCCAATATTGAAGGTGAATAAGGGTATCAGCTGACACTGAGATCAGCTGATCTGCTAGGACTGTGACTAAGCTTGAGTTTTTGCCTGTCTGAACTAAATCACTGTGCTGAATTTGATCGACACAGTGATTTCTGATCACGCTGCTGCTGTTTTGCACACTGATGAGCTCTTTTTGATTTAATACAAATCTGATCTGACGCATTTAATTTGTCAGTAGCAACAAAACAAGCAACGTTAACGGAAGGCAGATCACATCTCGCTATATCAGCGAGTTTTTATGAAGTCCTCCATCATTTGCATTTAATCATTTGTGAAAATGTCACCCTTTAGCCACAATAAGAAAAGGCTAGAAGGAGCTTTTGATAAGATAGGAGAGGAAAACGACTTTCATTATTCAAGAAAATCTTTTATTCATCTGGAAATATATAAATCATTTATCAGTTTTAGTAGTAAAATTACTCCTTGGTTGTTATTATAACTTAGCTTTACTGCCCTTACTAGATTACAGCTCTGTGTAATGTAACATCCCGTGTCTTCACAATGAAGTGATGAATGTAGCGTCGAATGCAGAAGAGGGAAATGTTATGCCATGTCGCTGTAATTTCTACAAGTTAAGGGCATCGATCACTTAACACTCCTTTAATTATTCCATTGTATAAACTGGGCTGCAGCAAGCATGAGGTAATATTATACTACTTCATGCTGATCATGTTGTTGAAAGTATATACAGCAGAGGCTCGAGTGAATATTTAATACTAACTGCATTTGTTAAGAAACAGATGGAGTTTGCAAAAACACCCAAGCGTGCTATAAACATGTGGTGCTGAGAACTTTTTTTTAAAATTCAAGACATGATTCAAAAAGTGTTTGCAATAAATTCTGTTTGCTTTAACCTGCTTACAGCTCCAGATGGGCAGAGTTTGCTTCATAAAACAACAGTGCCAGGGAGCATGGACTATTTCAGCTCATTTATGGGCTCCCAGAGGAAAGCAATATCCTAAATGAGATCTCCTCTGCCTTTCATTTACGTCTCCTAAACATAGTTGCGATTTATTTAAAATCACTGTGTGATTTTAAGAAATGTTCTCGTCCTCCGTGTGAAATGTTGCCGCTGAGAAACAAACTGCGCAGTGTTTCAGTCTCACACTGATATTTATGAGTGTCACTTGGGTCTTTTATTATTTTTCTTACATGTTAAGGTTTGAGTCATTATGCTGCAATTGTAATCATCCGCAGATGAGATATTGTGCTTTACTTAGATGCTTAGAGCAGATGTCTGTGAATATCAGAAATTAGATTTAAAGAATTAAAACTTTTAGACACAGTCACAAAACATCAAAAGATTAAAAGCACGTATGAAGAAACAGAATAAATGACTTAAGTTATAAATTGAGAAAAAACATTTTTTTAAGCATATTTAACTTCAGGTGACTTAGTAAGGACCTAGCCATCTCTAACAATTTGAAACAGTCCAATGGAAATGATAGTTTCCACAACTCTCCACTGACTGCTCCATTGGCAGTGCAGAATAAACTTTCCAATATGTGAGTAATGGTCGAACCAAAAGCATATTTCATTCGGGAATACCAGTGTTCAACTGCAGAAATTTATATCTGGTGGCATGGATATGTTCTGGAGACTAATTAAGTCAGAAATAAAACACAAGCTGGGTTGCAAAGAGGCTTGCAGATATGCAGCAACTATGGGCTACGACAGCTGCTGGCATGTGGGTTGGGACTGACGTCAACTTATTTGCTGGGAACTGCAGTTAAGCTTGACTTTGTGGCCTTCCAACTAACCAACTCAGGCTCAAGTTATTTTTTAAATACCCCAGTATGTTCAACAAATTATTAACTTTACATTAAACACATGACATGTACTGTGCAGTTCTTTTACATTGCTTCTTATGAATCTTCTGTACATTTATTTATCTTATTTCACATCACCTCGCCTCTTCCACTGCTGAGGTGCTTCGAGTTTCTCAGCTGCGTGAACTACTTTCACATATCGATTATTCCAGGACTGTTCCACTCTTTCATGAATGCTGGTCAGATGGTTTTTTTTTCTTTTTCACGTAATTGCTCAACCTGGCTGTGATGTTCCCAGAACTGCCCACATGTTTCCCATTTGCAAACAAAATACCATGCTTCAAACCCAGTCACAGCTGAAATGTGCTGTCACTGTCATCTGAGAGCGTTTATCCTCAAATTACAGATCCAACCGCTCAGCCTGCCACCAAGGAGATATTAAACGTATATGGTGCTGACACTGTCTGCTTTCTATTTGTACCTCAGTCACTATGTGTTTTTATCTATATAGTTCTGTTTGAAAAACAAAAAAACAACTACTTAATTCAGGAGGTGACCTTTTCTCATAACCCATCTCAGATTGCATTTCTGGAATAGACTTTACCTCCCGCAAAACAAGATCCATGCCATGAGAAAGGATCGTGCTTGTCTGAGGGTCAGAGGATTTTGACCTTCCAATATTGTTTTTACTGTAATGCCAGCAGGCAAAGAAAAATGACACAGAATTACAGATGGAGGGAGAGAGGGAGGGGCTGCTGGAGACTGCCTCTTAATGTGAGCTTGAATGTCACCTACAGTGAATTATATCAGGGTGTGCTTTGCTCATTCCTGCAGAAATTAATCTATTAAATCATTTCTGGTGCTTTCAGACTATTCATGAGAGAACATAACACAAAAAAACAAGGTTTTTTTTTTATTCCACATGAATCCTTATACTTTCTTTGCATTAGCCTGGGATGAATAAAATTACTTTGAAGTCCTCTGAGCTGTAGTTTCTTAGAAATGCATCCACTAGACAATGAAATCGGCATATCAGAAGCCGTAATGCACACGATGGTTGTATTTTTTATGTAGGTGGCATAAAAACTTTCAGTGCAATTTAGCAGAGAACACACTCTGGGTGAGCACTCTGCAGCAGCTTGATAAGAGACTGAGTTCCTAGAAAAACAGAGCACATTTAAATATGCAATATCACCCGGGGCTGTGAGACATTGACTAGCAAATGAAAAGAGAAAAGGGCCTGCCAAAGCCATGACAACTGCCTAACCACAACTAACAGGTGTTGCTTTACTAAACTAGGGATGCTATGCAAAACTCTATCATAGTGCTAGCCAGCCAGCCAGCCACGCAAATGAGGGTTCTTACTTTGTTTGCAAAGTGTTATGAATGAAGGCAGGCTGAGCACAGAAGCTATAATGAAGGAAAACATCACAATAGGTGAGACATTTCAGAAAATCTGGTGAGCTCTCACCTTGGTAAAGAAGAGCAAATCCCTTGGCCTGGTTGGTTCGGTCAGAGTAGAAGTACAGTATGACAAAGTCGCCCGTGATGTTTACCAGATCCCGCGGAGGGCTTCGCCAGTCGAAGCGGGCCACCACTTGATTTGTGTAGCCATCCAATAGCTCCACCATGTCGGTCTGGTCGGAGATGTCAAAGAAGGTGAAATTGAAGAGGATGGCCGAGGATCCAGGGACCTGGATAGTCCAGTAGCAAACACGCCCAGCCCCGTATTTGTCAGGGAAGTCAGGGGAGTAGATCACTCCTGATGGAGAAGTGTAGTTCCCACCACAGGCCCCCACTCGGGCTGAAAAAAGAGCAGTAAAAAAAATGCCTGTGTTATTCGTTTAAAGATTAAAAGTTGTGAAGATGGTTGACATCTGTTCTTGTGAGGATGTTGTACATGACTTTTTGTGATTGATCAGACACAAAGGACAGACATGTCCTTTGATTTTTAGCACCACAACAAAACACCATAGCTGTGGTATCTGATTTATTAAACTCAAGCTGATTTAGATTCAGAATTTAATTCAAAGCATCTTTACAAGATTCAGCCTAAAAACAGCCTGAAGAAGAATGTGGTTTAACTGAAGAGTATGTGAGTATTAAAAACAAGAAATAGGATTCACGCATAACCAGCAACAAAGCTTCTGGAAAATGAGCCTAACTGGACATAACATATGAATAAATGTTATGCAAGAAACATGTTTTTGAATGGACCAAAAAAAACCTTTTCAGGAGACTGAAATATAGGTGGTCTGAGAGAAAACTAGACTGCTGAGCCTTTGGGCTTTAATTTCAGGCTGTACAAAACCTGATCTTTGATAGCAGATTTTGTCAGTCAAAAGTCTTTTCAGAGCAGATCCTGTCTTTGATGGCATGGTGGTATGGGTTTAGAATAAAGAAGAGCTAGCTGCAGGCAGGGTTACTAATTTTAAAATTGTAGGTGTGTTGTGTTCTGACTTCTTACAGCTTTACGATGATAAAAGAAATGAGCTGTCCCCAAATCAGATTTGTACAAAATAAAACCAGACTAAATGTTTGAAAATTTATGTGAAATTACAGCAGAGATGTGAAAAGACTAAAGGATGAGATCAAGAATGACAACTGTCAGTGCTCACTGCTGAATATGATGACCCAGCCGTCTCCGCCGCAGGGCTGAGTGTGGTCACCGAAGCAAACATGGTTACACTCCATGCTAGGTGACTCGCCACGTTTCTGTAGGTCCACATCGTTGCCACAGAAACAGGCATATCCTGACTCCATACCAGCAAGCTGCAAAACAGAAAAAGGAGTTGTGCAACTGAGGAAAACACTGAGGGGGTCATTCTGCTGACTGCAAACACACATTCTTTCAGTTCTCTCAAACTATAAAGATTGTTGTTTTCCCATAAAATAAGACTTGATTACATTACATTTTTTCATTTTAAAAGGACCAATTATGTTTTTCATGTTCGATTTATGTGGAATTGTGTAAACGTGGGGTAAACAGTTGACTACATGTAGCTACTTCCCTCTGAAATAAGTGACTCGAGCCTAAAGCGCCCTAATTGCTCTTTCTCTCGTGATTACAAGATGTTGTAATCTGAGTCTGTATAACTGTGGCCTCTCAGCTGATTAGAAGACTCCCTTCAAACACGCAGCTGCACACGGGGTGTACAGAAGAAACGGTACAGGAATAACACCTATCTGTCTTTCAAATCAAAACTGTTAGTAAACCATTCCAGAAAGTGTCAGCGCAGGAATGTGACACGTCAAAAACCTTCACACATCTTGACCTCGCCACTGCTGGCCACTCGCTGTCAAAAGAGGTATTGTTCTTCATTCAGAAGGACGCCGTTGTTCGATATTCAGGCTCCAAACGAACACACGCAACTGAAGGTACTGCATAATTTCCTACTCATGGAATAAGAATTCACGCAGCCTCTGCTTCCACCCAGATGTATCAAGCTCCTTGTTGTATTATTCTATCTGATGCGGTTAAATTTGAGAACACGTACACAAATACTTTTGGCAGAGTAAACAAGCCATGGATTGCTGTCTCACTCATCAGGCATGCTCTCTGTCACAAAGTCACGTGGGATCCATATTTCAGAGCACTGATGTTTCACGTGTGTATTGAGGACAGTGACAGTCCAAGGGTAGGCAGATGATGCCAGTCTGTTGCCATTTCCTGTAACATCTGCCTAACTGAGAGGGGAGGGGGTGCCTGTCAGTATCTGTCAATGCATACTGAGCTGAAGTGGATCTGCTGAGACAGAAAATTAACACCTGGCACTGTTTGTAGCAGGGACAATGGCACGCCAGAAACAGAGAGAAGGGAAAATGCAGTGAAGAGGAGGAACCCAGTGGGCTAATAACCATTCATTTCCAGCTGTCAGCCTTGATTATTGTGATGATTCGTCATCTGCTGGTTGGCTTCAAACAGGAAGTGTGATGGCTGAATAAAGTGGGCATCATCTAGATAACTGACAGAAAACTACCCATAAAAGCAGATGATTTGCATAAAAGCCTGACTACTGCAAAAAGACCTGCTCACGCCTGTTTTAAAAACAACAATTTACTCTGTTTTTACATCCAATAGGTAGATTTGAAGTGATAGGACAGAGGATAAACCATAAACCAATTACGGTTTGTTTTCCTCTTTTATTTTTACAGAACTTGTCATGTTTGATTGCAGTTGAAATAAAATTTCTCATGTTTTCTTGTTATTTAATATATTTTTAATTTAATTCCAAATCTCACCTTGTATCTTTGCTTCCTGCAGAAGCTGATACAGTTTTGGATAGTGAGTTTGTTGGAGGTCTCACTGGCACCAGTCAGGGTGGGGGGGTCACCACTGTCTCTGAAGCACCCCAAGTTTCCAGGCACTGTAGGGAGAGCAGACCAGAGTGGGAAAAAATGATTAGTTATATGCTGCATCTTAGATGCAGTCTGCATCACACAGTAAGGCGAGGTTTTCACATGATTAGGGAAGATCAAATGTATAATGGAATTAAAGTACAGCAGGTGTTAGAAACAAGTCGACAGATATGGAAGGAAATGGTTTATATCATACAGAACATGCTTCAAACTTTATTTACATGGTCTATATGCTGTTTCAATTTTCTAATCATGTTTGTGATTAATGCTTAATCTCAAAAACCCAGCCCAAAGAACAATCAGTGATGACACACTCGTCAAATATTCAGAACTCTGTTTGAAACTTCTAGCTTGAACTGCCAAGAAGCAAGCCAACTATTTGGCTTCTGAGAAAAAGAGAAGAGGAGGAGGTGGCGAGCGGCAATGGAGGAAGAGGAGCAGAGAAAAGAAAAAGGGGTGAAGAGGACAAGGATGTTTAAGTCATAGCGACACAGAGCTGGAATTTAGAAAATGTACCATGTCAGATTTGAGAGCTGTTGCATCAGATTAGGAATATAACATTTTCTAAATGTGTGTGTGTGTGTGTGTGTGTGTGTGTGTGTGTGTGTGTGTGTGTGTGTGTGTGTGTGTGTGTGTGTGTGAGAGAGAGAGAATAATTTTTTAAAGTCTCATGTACGAAGAAAAAAAAAAGGGGGGGGGGTTCCCATGTGGAATTTGTCACATGACAGGAAGAAGACCATGTCCAACACCTGGGCCTTTATTAAACTCAGATTTATTAAACTCAGTATTTTTGTAAAACACAAAAATTAAGAGCAGCATTAGTTTTGGCACGTTCCAAAATTAAGCTTTGCCAGCAATCATTGTGTATAAACTTGCAACAGCTGATTACAACACCCTTCAGTAAAGTGCACAATATATCTGTTGCTTTAGTTGTTCAGCACTGTCTTCAGTCAGTCCTGCCTCTGCAAGCCAATTTGCAACCCATCTCTAAACCAACTCCTCATTTTTATCCTATGTCTGACTTTTTCCCAGTCATTGCCATCTATGCCTGTTTTATTTCTACACATAAACAGCATAGATGGCTAATAAAGTCTATTTAGGAAGACCCAAGCTAAGTGTTTTTGTCATTGATCAAACTGTGAAAATGCATGAATATTGGCTACATTTCATTGACAAGTTGCTAAGTGGATAATCTTTAAAAAATGACCTTTATCGTTTGAATATGACTTAAAGCTAATGATTACAAACCACAAGATAGTGTTTACTAAAATGATAGATTACAGAAATCACATCACTCTTATGCTGGTTTCACTTTTCATATGAGGAGGCTGAAATCCCATTCATAAATCAGTTGTCCTGACGGACGTGTTATAAAAAAAATAATACTTCTGTGCTTTTGCACTCAGACAGGCTTAAGCTGAACAATAGATCTTTGCACAGCAGCCACTTGACATCAAACAGTAGGTAAGCACAATTTCTAATCTCGTGAATTTAGGCTCTTTGACTAAACAGAACAGAACCGACACTAAAAACATTACTTTTGAATTATTTTGTTGATACTTTGATGATAGCCTCTCATGTGCACCAAAAAGTTTCTCTGCATGCAAGTTAGATTTTACAATATGTGAGACCAATGCGCCAACAATGCCAGATGGATTTCTAACCAGACAGATAGATGAAAGATGGATGTTGACACCTTTCCAGATCACATTCGTGCAGATGAATCAAACTGTCTGTCCTAATCCACTATGTATTCATCAAATACTATGCAATCTTTCAAAAATCTAGTACAGTGATTAAATGCTGCAAAGCTTTTAAATTCAATGTAATAGCTTGGGAAGTGCCAATAAAGCCTCCAGCAATCTATATCCTATTTGTGATTTGCTTTTCATTTAAATCCAAATGCGCTTAAAGTTGTTTATTTTGATGTTCAGAGCTAAAATGAATTTGACAAACATAAGTGAATGCACACCCTGAAAGTAATTTCAACGGGAAGTTGAAAAAAAATTCTCTTCAGTGTAATTGGAAGTGGTGTCATGTGGCCTTAGGGTGTGAAAGAGATCATTAGGGAACGATAGAAAAGACAAGAGCAAAGACTGCGTCCAAAATAGCTGTCAAGTCTGCTGTGAGATACAACAAGGACGCACAAATCAAAAGCATGTGACACTGTGGTCTGTATTAAAGCATTTACAATTTACAATTTCAAATGACCTTTAGTAAAAACTCAAAGTCTGATTGCTCCTTATTTCATACAGTCATGAAAAAGCACAGTGGCTGAAATCCTATAACTGGAAATCAAACCGCTACACAAAGATCATTGTTAGATTTTGTAATGCAGGACAATCATAGTTTGGAGATCAGCAACTTCCAGAAAAAACGCACATTCTCCAAAGGGTCAGCGATGTGAGATCAGATGCAAAGAGGGCGCTGCACCAAAAACCTCCGCAATTGCTTTGGTCAACTACCAGATTGATGCAGTTGATCTTAGTCTGCATGGAAGACGCTGAGTTGTCTGCAAAAAAAAAAAAAAGATGACTGCCAAGACACGACTTTTACTTTGAAAGCAAGTGTTTTGCTTTCAATTTGCGTCACGTTGTTCATAGTTTCGTTATCGCTTGGTAATGATTTGCAAACTGGTGACCACAGCAACCTGCTGGCAACCAAAGAAATCCCATAGAGGTTTTCTCTTGGTGAGTAATTTCACACTAGCAATTGCTAGTAACCGCTTGCTTACTGGTCACAGAATATACCCTTTTCCCTAGGGATTGGTGGTTACCACTGGGTCATTAACTGGTCTCTAGGCCTGCAAGAATGGGGCTTTTACATTCAATTTCACAGCAAATGCGAGCCACCACTCACACATTTATGGTCACTGATGGCCTGTGAGGCCTTAATAGCATTTGTATTGATTTTTTATTTATTTCTCTAATGACATGCAAATAGAATCCCACAGAGAACTCCCCGCTAGAGTTTCCTCACGAATTGAGAAGAGCGCAAGACGTTCATTTGATCCTAAGACATTACACAATAGCAATTCCTGTCTATTTGTACAACAACACTGTCTTGCTTTGCGGGTACACCAAAGTCTGACAACATGCTCAGACACTGTAAAGTCCCCTGATACTGTACACCAACACTGTCCTAGAAATAAGAATCTCTTGAGCTCTGCCTGTCATCAAACATGCAGGCACAGCTCGGCTGATGACAGTAAGTTCCACCAGTGCACAAGCAGTTCCCAGCACGAAACAGAAAAACACTTCATCTATTTTTACAAGCCTGTCATGAAATGTGGAATATATTGGTATTGTGCAAACAAAAAAGGGAGTATGGATTTGCATACAACTCTGTTTGAATGTTTATAACATTACTACAGAAGAGCATCAATCAACTCTGCCTTCATGAACTGAAGTGACCCTAATAAAGACCACACATGTGCATTGTCACTGGCGTGCCAGCTGCTGCCAAAGTTAACTTATTGGCTTGCACAAAGCACCAACAGAATCTGTAGATTCTCTCTGTTTGAGGCACAAAGACTCTTTGGGGAAAAAGTGTGACATGTTTTAGATTCTTCACAAATTGTTGTCCACAAGAATGTCCCCCACAGACTGGAAAATGAAGACGAATAGAAAGAAAAATGGTGCCGAAACAGACTGGCAGAGAGACAGCCACTCCCTGCATTTCGCTCACATTTGATGACCGTTAAGTGACCGGCGAAATTCTGGCAGCAGCCAAGAACTGTGTTTGACAAATGACTCAACACTTGAAGACAAAGTCCTCAGACACACTCAGACCAGCAATAAATCATGTGCAATATTCCTTTTTCAGCCACAAACATGCCAGAGCTTTAGAAGAGATTAATGTGGTTGGTTGGGATGGGGGGATCATTTACTAAGACTCCACGGTGCACACTTGCAAAAGTAAGCACCAGATTATTTGACAGGTTAAAGGCAAACATGACAGTTATAAGAATGTTTGAGGTCTCTCGTATTTTCCACGGTGCTATAGAAGCGGTTTCTTTTTTATCAGTTGCTTAAGTACACACTAGCGGTGAGGTGCACAACAGGGAAGCAGAGAAGAAAAGAGAGATAAACACCTGGTAGGGAACCAGCAACTTCCCTCCGAGCAAGGCAGGCAGGTACTACTTCAATAGAGGTTTTGAAAAGCAGAGGAAAAAATGCTACTGCTGTGCTCAGGAGCTAGATTAAAGGCACAAATGCTCTTTTTCAACTTGGCTTTGACAAGAAGATTGCAGACTAAACTTAATTTATCATTCTTTGTCCTCTTCTCGTTTTAGGGGCTGAGAAGTACTGGCTGAGGAGCGGTAGGTGTCCGGCTCATACACTGGCGCACTGGAGGTTTGTGCAGAACTGAAGACAGCGACGGTCGCTTTTCTATGCACCGCCCTGCAGTGTGCATCCACAAAAAGCACAGAATTGTTCTTATATGAAAACTCCTGAGCACAGCAGCATCTCGCTTAAAAACATCTGCTTTGCAGGCGCAACAAGTGCAAATATCTTCACGTACAGTAAAAGAAAAAACACACACAAACACACTCAACACACTTCAAAGCCGTTGCTGGAATTTAGACTTTAACGAGCCAGAGGGGAGAAATGGAGGAAACACAAGGTGTATAAATGCTCCAGTTAGCCCACACCAGACCTCTGAAAACCCTGGGAGATCACAGTGGGGAAAGGGGGGGACTTCTACAATGTTTAAAAAACCCAGCCACACTCATCCCAACCTGGCAGCCTCAGCTCACTAAAGAGCAGTCAGCCAGCTTTCCCACAATGCACTGCAGACAGGAGGCACTGGGCAAAGCTGCAAAGTTCATGGGTGTCTGTTTAACAGGAGGTCTTGCCAGGCAGCAGACACAACAGCACCACTGACCTAAAACACATGAGAGAAAAAGGAAAAAAAGCTCCAACACAGAATGATGACAAACAACATCAAACATGTGCAGCAGGCTTTGGCAAATGTGCTTGGCAAGCAGTACGTGCAAGCTGGTTGA